TTCATTAAACTTGAAATAGAGTTTTGCAGGGTAGAGTAGTCTGTGCTAGAATTTGTTTTCGTAGAGGACTTGAAGTACTCTGCTCCATGCTCTTCTTCTCTTCATGGTTCTTGAAGAGACGTCACCTGTAATTCTAATGGGGTTTCCTTTTAATATGATCTGCTTCTTTTCCTAATGGTCTTTCAGTATATTATTCTTGTGCTGAACTTCTGGGATCTTGACTCTTATATGTCTCGGTGTGTTTTTCATTGGGTTGAGGTTACTTGGTATTCTGTATGCTTCAGTTACCTGAATGTCAGATTGTTTCCTCATATTTGGGAAGTTTTCTGTTATTACTTCTGCTCATATTTTTTTAATGTCATTCGTATTGTCTCCTTCTTTCTCATTGATGCCCATTAGTCCCACATTGTTCATCTTTGCATCATCTTGCAGGTTATGGATTATTTTTTTCTGAATCCTAGTTGTTTTAAAGAGATCCTTTCTTATCTTTTCCATAGCTACACCAGTGTCTTCAAGATCTGAAACTCTGTCTTCACTTTCACTTAAACTGTTTTACAACCTTATGATTGAGATTTTAAATTTCTCTATATCTCTTTCACTCTGCTTCATGCAATCTCTTTCTTTCCTCTATTGCTTATTCAAGAAATCCGTCATTTTTCTAATCTTCTCTATTTTTTATCTATGTCTTCTTTAGAAGCAGTTATTAATTCTTTTACTGCAGTGATTTTTTTCAGATTGGGTTTCCTCCTCATGTTTCTGTAGTTGATTCTTTACTTCAGATGCTATGACTTCCAAGAATTCTTTTCTTATTTCAGAAAATTCTGCTGTGAGTTTCTTTATGATTTTCTGTTGTTGCTTATTTACTATCGACGCTGAGCTCATGTCCTCTGCCCGTGTTCTGGGTGGGCATTGGGTTTCCTCCATATGTTTCTGCATTTGATTCTTTACTGAAGATGTTATTAATTCAGGGATTTCTTTTTTCATTTCCAATCTGAGTTCCTCTATACATTTCTGTGGCTGTTTCTTTATTTCAGAAGCTGTTGATTCACTGATTTCAGCTGTGTGATTCCCAATTTGTTCTGTGTTAGTGTGCTCAGCATTTGTTATGGGTGGGCTTGGGTTTGGAGATTACATTTTGTTCCTTCTCATTGGCATTTTGTGTAGCACTGTCTTCTGTTCTTTGTTTCAGAGCTTTGGTGCATTTATAACCTTAGCACATACTGAAGTTCTGGAGCAGATCTATGACATGTGGATCTATCTAGCTGTGCCTGGCCTGGGTCTGGCTGCTGTCCTCAGGTCCTTCCTGCCCTTCCCTTGGAAGTGAACCTGTTGTGCCCCTCTGGCCAGATGTTCTGCTCTTGGACTAACTGGGTGGTTCTGTCCCGTACACTCTCTGCAGGGATTGCAGCTGCAGAGTTTCACCTCAGGCCTGTATGCCAGACCTGATATGAGTCTGGAGGGGCCAAGGTGGAGTATTGGGAAGAGACAGCTCTCCCATCACTCACCAGGCCTGGGCTAGGACTGGATCTGGGGATCCCTAGAACACTGCAGAAATTCTCACTGGGCGGGCATGGGGGGGGGGTGTTGCGGAGTGGTGGGGAGATATCCCAAGGGGGTGGAAGAGGGTCTCACCCACGCTGGACCTGGGCTGAGACAGGTAGGTCCCACCGGCTCAGGTTAGCCGGTAGCCTGTCTTCTTAATTTCTTATGTATTTCTTTCCTTTTTTTTCTTCTTCCAATTTTACAAGCATGTATCTGATAATTTTAATAACTTGTTGGAAGATAACACTACATATTACACCCTATACTGTGACATTCATATTACTTTAGGTTTTGTTGTTGTTGTTGTTGTTGTTGTTGTTTGCTTTGCTTCGTTTTGTTTGTATTTTAGGGAAGGTTCTACAGGGTGTTTAGGGTCTCACTACTAGATCGGACTCATAGTGATCCGCCTGTTTGCAGCCTCCCAAGAGCTGGGATTACAGGAGCACACCAGCACGCTCAGTGTCAATTGCTGTCTCAGTGCACCCTGGGGGCAGGGCCAGCACAGCAGGGCCAGGGATTGAACCCCTGACCACTGTGCCTGCTTGCAGGTGCTTTAATCCACTGAGCTACTTGGCCAGCCCTTCATATTACTTTGTTAAATTAAAATCTGTATCAATTGCAATTTTTTCTGTTTTAATTCTAATTTGTACTCTCTTTAAAAAATAAAAAAGGGAATTGGGGAAGCAGTGTGCCTGAGAAAATGAAACCATAACTCAACATAAATGAACTTAATATGTATTTATTTAAGATGCCATACAAAAATTCCCAGAATTGGTTTACTCATTTTTCCATATTCATTTCCCCCCTGAGACTAAATTCAGGTGAGCTTTACCTCTGACTTATATTCCTACACCTTTTTGTGTTGTATTTTCAGACAGGGTCTTACTAAATTATGCAGAATGGCCCTACCTTGAGATTCTCTACCTCAGCCTTCTGAGAGTTCATTCAATCCCAAAAACATAAGCTATCAGATCTTTATCACAGCTTTAAGGGTAATGACACCAAGGCTCCCCAAGTTTAGCTCAAACTTGTAAAAAACTGATCTGTCAAATTTCACTAAGTTGTCTTCTCAGGGAATCAAATTTCAATTATCTGGACTATGGTAATCCTACTCTTCACTATATAAAAGTTCATTTAGTGCTAACTAGAAATAAACTACATATTAAGGATTATAAGAATACATGATAGCATATGACATGATCATTTCTTCCTATTTCTGAAGGACAAGAGTGAGGATATTCAATTTTAAAATGTTACATCTCTAAAATTTCTTTCTAAATTTTATTTACTGATACAGGGTCTCACTACACAGCTCAGACTCATAGTGTTCCTCCTGTTTCAGCCTCCCAAGCACTGAGATTACAGGCATCCACCACCACATCCACTTTTGGAGCTGGCACAGATTTCCCAGGGTTCCAAAGCCAGCATGTCATTCAGTTCCAGGGATAGAACCCAGGTCATTGCACTTGCCAGGCAGTTGCTTAGACCGCCAAGCAACATCAGCCCAACATGTTGCATCTTGTTCAATATATTTTTATCTTAATTGTTCCAATATAAAGAATAGAAAACATAACCATTCATAACTTTTAAAATGAATGAAATATTCTCAACCTAAGACAAGCTTATGTCAATGTCAGACAAAGCTACTTATGACACAAGATTAATAATAACAGTTGAGAAAACTTGTAGAAAATGGCATGCAAATTTAGCCTAGTAAGAAAGATTGGGTTTAACAAGTAATGATATTAGTAATATAATGCTGATGTACATTGTGTCCAATAGTTAGAGACAGCAAAACAGGTTACACAGAATATTCAGGAAATGATGAGAAGTTTGTTTGGGGTACAATGACAGAGAAAAAATGTTTGAACAAGTCTAAAAGAATGTTTAGAACAGAACACAAAAAATCTGTAGTAGATAATTTCATAGCATTTGAAATTTGTTAATATACTGTACAAATATTACATTTTAATACAAATTATTAATAAAAGATAAGCTTCAATACAAAACAAAACTGGAAAAGCAGTCAAATGATGCTTGGAAAAAATAACAGACTTGAAATATGAATTTTATTGTGCAAAGTAATTGGTGACTACTGTAAAATAATCCTTACAGACTGAGTCAGTCACTTTCTCAACACTGGGACACCTGATGCTCTGCAACTTAAGGAAGAGGTTCAACTTGGCTCTTGGTTTCAAGGGATTCATCCCCTCATTGGCTGGATCCACAGCAGAAACACAGTGGAAGGTGTGACCGAGAATAGTAGCTTAGTTCATGGCTCTGGGGAAGCACAGGGAGCACCAGCAGGGAGGAGGAGGCCAGGAACCATGTGTAATACCTGAGGTCAGACTTCCATGACCCACCTGAACACAGCCAGGGGCATTCTTCACTAATCTCCCAAGCTTAACTGTTTTGGGGGAGGTAATAAGCAAAATAAATTAAATGCACTGAAACCTCCCCAGAAATAGGAAACTAAGGGAGAAGGTGGGACGAGGAGAGTGATGGGGCAAAAATGATCAGACTATGTTGTGCACATAGTGTATGAATGTGCTGAAATGAAACCCATTGATCTAGAAAGCCAATATTTTAAAGAGCATAAAAGAATTCAGATTGTACTCCAGTCCCATAACTACTAGCTGTGCAGTCTGGTGCAAGTAGCATAATCATTCTGCTCGTTATAGATGAAATTATGATGGTACCTTCTTCAGAAGATATTTTGTGAAGATTAAATAAATTGGCAAATGTACAGCAAAAAAAATCTGAAATAACCAACAACAAAAAAAAACATCACAGAGATATCATACTAATATATGGCATGATTAATCTGAAGATTTCAAAATAGGGGAAGACACTTTTCTGTGAAATGACCAAACAACTAAGAGACTTCATGGCTGGAAAAATGTGGAGAGCTTTACTAGCCACAAAGTAGATCAGAAGCTGAGGCACACAGGGCTGTAGAAGAGAACAATAAACATGACGGCTCATTTGTGCCCAGGATCGGCAGGTCAGGGTGCCTATCGTTGGTTAGCACGGTGCTTAGCATTGGTGTAAAAGCACTAAATTCCTTCTAATCTGGTAGGAGGAGATAAAGTGAAAGTGAGAAAGACACATAATGAAGATAATGAAAAAAAATATATATATAACACTCTGAAAAACATAACTCTTTCCAAAAATCTATGTACTTTCCATGTATTTCTACTTCATTCAGTGAAGACTTCACAAGACCCTCAGTATGTATTAAACTGAGGAACTTTCCCAGGTAACTAAGAAATCCACAAAATGACAGTTTCCTTTGAAATAATGAGAAACAGAGAATAGTAAACCATTGTTTTCATTGTTACCTAAAATATCAAATTTTTAAAATCAGAATTAATTCCAGGATATAAAATTTTAATTTCCTCTTCAATGTTAAATTAATTCCCTTTTTGCCTGTGTTTTTATAAACAGCCAAATACCTTTCACAATCTCCTTAGCAGATTCTGGATTCCCTGTTTGATCTCCTTTGTTCGGACACCATATACAATGGGGTTCACAGCTGGAGGAATCAGGTGGTGCAGAATGTTGAGCAGGATAGGAACATCTGGGGCAATTTTCTCCCTGGCCAGGTTAGTGATGACCAGAACCAGCAGAACTGTACTGAAGAAGAGGATGAGGATGAAGTGGGAACCACAAGTGCTCAGAGCCTTCACCACAGTGCCCTCCACCTTGATCCTTAGCACAACTTTCAAGATAAAAGCATAGGAGATAACAATGAGGATGATGTCTGAACCTAGCAGGGTCCAACCTGCCACAAACTGGTAGAGCCTATTGAAGGTAATATCATCACATGACAATTTGGACACAGACACATTAGTACAGATACAGTTTGCAATGACATTCCCTGCACAGTATCCTAATCTGGCAGAGAGGATGGGAACAGGAAGTGAAAAGATGGCATTCCGGGTTATAATAAAGATGGCAGCCCTGGCCACAAACTGGCCAGTGATGATGGAAGGGTACCGCAGAGGATGACAGATGGCCACATAGCGATCATAGGCCATGACCATGAAGGTGCAGGACTCCATGGTCAGGAAACTGTTCATGAGGAACATCTGAAGGAAGCAAGCAGAGAAGCTGATGGATTTGCTGTCAAACCAGAAGATGGCCAGGACCTTGGGGATGACAGTGAGGCAGAGCACGATGTCCAGCAAGGAGAGGAGGCTGAGCAGGTAGTACATGGGCTCGTGCAGGGCGGCCTCCATGCGGATGGTGATCAGGAGGGTGATGTTGGCCCCTATGGCCAGGAGGAAGAGGAGGCTGAGGGGCAGAGACAACCAGTGCTGCCAGCTCTGGAAGTTAGGAAAGCAGATGAGGAGGAACTCAGAGACTGAGGCTGTGGAATGGTTGCTGGATGACGTCATGGATATTCCATGTATAGAGCTAGGAATCCAGATGACCTTTCTGTGAACGACTGTGTGTCCTGTATGTAGCAAATCTTGGGTTTCTGTGAGGATCCACACCTGTCTCAGTGAAGTTTAAAATCACCATCACCAATGGGGGAAAAATAAGAATCAAGATAAATCATATACATATACAAATTCTTTATGATGAAAGTTATTATTACATATGTTTAAGTTGTGCCAATAAGCTTTATAAAAAGAAAGAAAAGAGAAAAATATCACTGTCACCACCATCATTGTTAATGGCATTTATCTGAGCAACTGTCATGTGCCAGGAACTATGCCACACACTTTATATTCATTATTTCACTTCCTCTCTTCTAAAAATAATGAACAGTACTTATACAATTATCCCAATTTTACAGATAATGAATAGGAGATACAGGGGAGTAGAGTACTTTGGTCACAGCTAGAGAAGCATTGAGTTGGAAAGCCTGGGTTTGATGCTATAATTCCTCTTTTCAGCCACCACATGAGCCTTAGTGGTCACAATTACTTAACTAAGCCTACTCTGTTCTTTCCTACCTTCCTTCCTCACTTGTTTCTTTCTTCTATCATGGCTTTAATGTTTAGAAGAGACAGCTATAGAACTTTGTTTAGCTCACTCTATTTAAGCCCAAGGAAAGCCCAGCCCTCTATTGCACAGTATGCACTTTGAAACTTGTGAGACAAGATAAATGTTATCTTAGCCTGGGCACAAATTTGACAGAGACCTGGAGGCTTGAGAACCCTCAGGAGTCTGAGCCTAAAGCACCCTTCCACATCTAGAGTGCCAAGGAGCATGGCTGTCTTCTTGGCAGAAACTGCTCTAGCTCAGCTGAGAAGGGCCTTCCTGAAGGTTGCTCTCCGCCCTGCTCTCAGGGTAGTCACCAGTAGTGTTCTCATAACTGTCCTGTGTCTGTGAACTGGCACCAAACCCTCGCTGGCCCTTAGTGATTTCCTCTTTGTACCAAGAGCCATTCCTATTATTAGCATAAACATAGAAAACAGATTGAAGAGACATTCGAAGACCAAACTCAGAATTACAGGTAGGGGGACAAATTTGAAAAAGCATTTGAAGGTTAGTCACTTAATCATTGTCAAAGTATGTACTTGCTACTCATTACTGGTTAAGGTAATGTGGAACAAACTGAAATGATGAGTAAAATAATGTCATGAATCCCAAGTAACAATGCTAGAGATGACTTTCTGTTCCTCAACCTGTGTGACAGAAAAAAATGATAACTTCACTGAGAAATTAAAAAGGGGTGGGAAAATAAAACTTTTTAAGAATAGGAAAAAGATCTATGTTTGAGGTTTTATACCTGAGATGTCTGCAAATGATCCAGATAAAATTTTCAAATAATCATTTAAAATAGAAAATAAGAGTATGTTTAAATCTGCAATGAAAACGTACTTATTGTTTTTCAAGGAAAATAAAAGAAGGAAGTCAAAGAAATGTAGGCATATGATAAAAATGGGGAAAACTTAAATATGTAACTAAAGTGCAAAGTTTAGATTAACATAAGTTTCTTTTTTTACTTATTTATTTTTATTATTGTTGTTTTTCTTTTGATACAGGGTCTCACTCACTATGGACTCATAGTGATCCTCTTGTCTCAACCTCCCCCAGTAGGCCTGGGGTTCCTGGGCCAGCTCAGCATGCAGTGCCAGGGATCAAACTCAGGACCTTGCACTTGCCGGGCAGGCACTTAAGCCGCTGAGCTATATCTCCCACCTAGACTAACAGTTGGTCATTGGTCATTGTTGTTTTAGGAGAAATAGGAAAGAGTTAATGGAATAGAGTCCTAGACAGGAAAGGAGATGATTAATTGGCTATTGAGAGAAACTCTCAGATGAAACATTGACAAGAATATTGTATCTAGTTCTTTCCACTCTTCATTCACAAAATAAAATTTATATTCTTGGAACTAAGAGTAAGGGCTATCTGCAAGTCAAAAATTATGATCTGTGTTAATTCCTTAAAGAATGAGATATAATAGACTGGAAAATATGAAGTTGGATCTCCCACAGAAAAAAATAATAGTCATTTTGAGTCCCCACTATCACAGCATTTTCAAGTTGAAGAATGAAACAACATCCAGGTACCCAAAGTAAAAATGCCTTTTCCTCTAAAGGGAGAGGAAATTATCTCATTTCATGGTCAGTAGGGGGTGGGAAGTTCTGTTTTGCATGTAGCTACTTTCCAGACAGTCTGCTGTCTAGAACCTGAACATTTTATTTTTTTGTTCTGTTTCATAACCAGGATCAGTTATACAACTGATAGCATGGCAGCTGATGTTCTTAAAGGGAAACATGAAAATGAGTTCTTTCATTTGTCTTTTCCAAAATTTTTATCAGTTGTTTTGCTTCATTTTGTTTTGCTTTGTTTTTCCATAATGCCATCCTCAAACACCTGTTCTATTTTAGAAGTCTTCCAAGAATTTGGTTTTCTAAACTCAGTGTGGTAATACATATATTTATGTCAGTTGAGTTCCCATTTTGCTATCCAATGAAAAACTGTTAGAAGCTCGGATAACTATAAATCCATCCCCCAGTTCTAAACCAAAAGGTTGCCTTTCTTCTGCTCTATCTTGAGACAACGAAACTATCTTCTTTCGAGTTCCTTTCACATATTAGTGAAAGTGAAAAAAATTGTTTAAAGAAAAAAACAACTGGCATGAGAGAAAAAAGAAAAAAGAAAGAAGGGAAAAGGAAATATATATGTATGTTTGTATATACATAGGATAGTTTGGATAATTCTTCTGCTGATTTCTGCAGGCCTATTGAAAAGGGCCAGTTACTTTTTTTCCTTTTCCTTTTTAATTATTTATAATTTTAACCAATTTTGAATGATTATATCCGGTCACCTGAGCAACTAATTTGGTTTTTTTGGGGGAGGGAGTTGGGGGACATTTTTATTTATTTATTTATTTTTCATTTTAATGAGAAAAAAGGTAAAATAGCCATGAAACAGTTTCAAAACAAGTTAGTGGGTCAGTTACAATAATTAATACATTGCATATTGCTGTCTTCATAGTAGTTATTCAGAGAACAAGATGCAGACATGATATTTTGTCTAAACAATATTAGTACAAACTTTTCTTCTCAATAAACTAGGAGAAAGTAGC